ACGATTGTGTAAGACGCAAATAACGTGACTGCAATTAGCCTATAATGGTGTTGCCACCATCACAAGTAACGATCACACATCTTAGTGACGGCCTTTTAGTGAATTTCCTATATAGGGTATAAGCTATCACCGTAGTACTCATGGTAATACCTCTGGACCCGGGATGGCAAGGCGTATAAAAGAAGGTGTGTGCACGCACATCCCCCACTCCTCCAATCAGCCAATCAAGTATTTACTGCTTTACTTTTTTTTCGGTTAAATAGTAGTGTTATATTGTATAACACTACTACAGTATATTCATTCAGTGTTGAATACAACGCTATTTTGGATATATAAAACTAAATAATAGTGTTTTAAATTCAATGCTGATTCCTAATGATTGTCATTCAAAAGTCTTTGGAAAATTATAAGAAAACATATGATTTGGTAAAATAAAATGTAAAATAAAATAAAGGGTGGTGGTGGGGTGGCAGTGGAGTGGGGGAAGAGCCATATTCTGTCTCACTACCACAGCTCGGTATCTCTCTCTCGCACCAATGCTACGAGGAGGACGCTTTCTAAGCGGCTGACCTATAGTAAAACTATATATATTTAGTTGTACAAAGATTTTTTAAATTGAATTATTAGATTTCATTGAAAATCAATTAAGACAAATGTAAAATTATTTAGTCTGCAGGTTTACTGCGGCAAGGGTATTTTGTACTACGATCGTATTTCTAAATAGCGCTTCTAACCACTGTTATAACATTTTTCAGCATTAAATTTCCTATAATTTTATACCCAAAAAGTTATTTTTACGAATATTAAAATTTTGACACTTTTTTCAAGATGGCGGCCAAAAAACGTATTTTGCGCCACAGTACAGATGTATATTTTTAGAATGTTGGTTAGAAGCATACTACTTACCATTCACAGCAAGAATCATTTGTGTTGCAATTAGTTCCACCTTAAGCTATATTTTCAATTATTTCTACTGCACTATATATTGGGATGTTTAGGCAGTCACTGCAAGTGAAGGAGTTCTGATGCAATCAGCCAATTTCCAATAATTGGTTTTCAGAGTCCAGCAGAGATTTTGTTTGGGGTATGTAATAATAGCAGAAGTTCAGGGTGAAAAGGGTAGGACTAAAGGAAGAAAGTCTAATGAAGCAAAAATGTATCCCTACACAGCAATTTGTCAAAACAGCCTAGATCTGTAATGTTTTTACATTTTTTTTATATTATAGAAGCAACTGTAATGTTTATAAAAGTCTCCAGCAAAATTAAAACATTCATAGCAAAGCAAGTGATGAGGACATCAAACATGAAAATTTTAGACCACTTAAAACACTTCTGCAGCTTAAAATATTCATAAACAAGCAAACTAAAACCGCTTAGGCCTACTGATTCTTCATAAGAATAACATGGGAATTTTTAATTTACAATTTTTAGAATTTTTACCGTAACTATTAGGCGCATAATAACACTTCAATATACTAAATTATTTGTTTTTTGAGCTCTACAAAATAGTTTATAAAGAAATTGCAAAACTTTATGTTTTGTACCCCATAAAACCAAGCTCATAAACCCCCGTTCCCATAGTCCGATTATGCTGGTTCGCAAACTCGTCCGAATTAATGTAGGTTTACACATTTATACCAAATTTAATCAAAATCGGATCATTTTTGCTAACGGTCATATGAATTTTGAACGGATGGTGTTTTTGGTCTCTGGGGACCTCAAAACGAAAAAGTAAATCGGTCCAGGTCTGACCATGAGTACTACGGCAATAGCTTATTCCCTATATGGGAAATTCGCTAACATAAAATGAAACTTCAGAATCTCATCTTACCATTGATAGTTTTAAGAGTTATGTCATTTCACCGACTATATCTGTGCGTAACATTTTAGTCGCCCGCCACTCCAGCAACAAATTTTGAAAGCATCATTTTTGGTCTATATGCCACTTCTAATAGGGTTAAGTTACTGAAAAATTCCCTAAGTTTAAGCGTACCCTAGGCTATATTTAGTATAAGTTTTCAGGGGCAAACTAAGTTGTTTAAGTTAAACAGCTCCACTTTTAGGTTAGGTAACTCAACTCAGAACATAGCATAGAAGCCTTACTCTTTTTTACTAAATAGGACGTACTTTGTAGACTATTTGCCTAGCCTACCTTAAGTTAATGGTAGGCGAGAAATTCCTTAACTTACAGTTGCTTCTATAATATAAAAAAAATGTAAAAACATAGAACCAATAAAAAAATAGCCTACCCAACTTTTCATCAAATAAGTTAAGTTAGGTATGATTAAACAAACTAACGGTATTTATTACGAATAACGTGATCATGGGAACCTATATAACGGATATTTATATATCACCAGCAACTTGATTTTTTGCTGAAATAACGGTGCAAAAGATTTTCTGCGCTCACAAATATTAAGGGAGTTACGGCTGTTTTAATTTTCATTTAGCCTACTTTGTTCTATTGACCTAGAACCAATTTGTTAGCCTACGCAATTTTCTCACCAGATACTTGATATACTTGCTATTACGTTAATTCTAAGTGATTAAAGTAGAAGACTCACTTTTTACCTGGAAATAACGGTACAAAAATGTCTCCGAGGCCAGGAATATTACCGTAACTAAGTTTGTTTAAGGTACCGTACCTAACTTAACGGAGACTTACTGGACTATGACAATATTAACTCCGCTTAAAATGTACAGATCTAGATTTTTAATTCATATTGTTTCGGTTTTCCATTCTGTATGTTTTATTTTCAATATTATCAATAGAGTGCGAATTAATGAGCTGATGTCACCTGTCTGCCATGTTATCTTTTGGGACGTCTGTCACTAAACAACACCACTTACGCGACGTTGCCAATTGTACCAGGCCACGGCCTGTGGTTAAAGGTGGCCGTGCATACCTTCTTATCGAGTTAATTTAAGTAGGCCTACAAGATAAAATCCAGACTAACTTAATATGGGAATAGCTGGTTATATTTTTTGGGGTAGAAGGAACTAAGTTAGTAGCACCTAATTTTTATTGCTGGCGTGTTGGTTGCGCTGTTAGCTGTTACTTGTTAGTTGTCAGAGCTCAAGAGCCGTTGATTATAGCCTACACTAAAGTCCACCAGTGCTAACATTGTTTAAATTGTTGTAAATACGGTAATTATTTTTTTCATTGTAACTCCCAAAAAATTAGGCTGGTTTTGAAATGCACTGCTGTGTTTAAAGCTCCAAACAACTATGTTTATCGCTTAGATTTTTATTACTAGGCTACTAATTTTAAATTTCACTTCCTCTTTGGTCCTTAACCCTCCGAGTGTTATTTGTTGAAGCTTCGACACATAACACACTTTGTGTAGTGTTTTGTATCAAAATTTCGACTCACAAACACTGTTTACGGCGAAGGCTCTATGACTGACAAAATCGGATTGAACTGGATCGAGTTAGGTATCGTTTTATTTGGCAGATTCTAAGCTTTCTCCCGAGGTCTGTCTCTAAGCGCTTTTTTTTCTCGAGCCGATCATAAATGTAGCAGACAGCAGACATGCGTATTTGTAAACAGCTTGGTTAACCTCCCACCAATGACTGATGTGTTTTATTACGTTTATCATTGTTTTAGTGTTAAAAATCAAAAGTAGTGATATACGTGGTGGATTATAAGAATATTTAAGTGATTTTGAAGGGCTGGTTGATGATCCTGAAGAAGTAAGTAGTGATATTGATGTAAATTATCAGCCAGATTCCTAGCTATGGTTAGGCTATGCATTCTTAGCTAAACGCTACTACTGAAATCTGTTTTTTGCCCATAACTTATTTATTTGCAAATCTACTTCCTTTGGCCTATATTATTATATATTTGTAATCCTCATAAAAATTAGAACAAAGTGGCTATTTTCAAATATTTATAGGCCTATAATTTATACAATTTCATTGAGCGCGAACTTATTTTTTTTTTTAATTTTCCAAAATACTTTTTTTTACCTAAAAATTTTTTTGAAACAAATTTGCCTTATGTTTTATAGATTGAAGCCCATGATTTTCCAAACAAAATGGTATATAGAACAGTATAATTAACATTGTTTTTAAGCTTCTCAGATCCGTTTCAATAAAACCTTGCAAATGCGCAAATAATAGGCAGACATTAAGGCCAAAACTAGGGACACTCGGAGGGTTAAAGTAATAACAATCAACAGGTACTAAATTGAAAATAACATATCTGCCAAAGGATTTCCTGACAGAACGCCTAATGAAAAATTCTAAACAAGCTCAAGCAAGTCATTAAAAAGTAGATTCCTCCGAAGTAATATCGATATTCGATATATCGATAGGCCTATTTGGATCCGATACTATCGTGATATCGATACTAGAGGCTGGAATCGTTTCGATAGCTAATACAGTAGAGTCCCGCAAACTCGGCACTCGATAACCCGGCAGTCTGGATAACTCGGCCATCACCTGGCTCAGAAAATTAGTGATTTTTTGAGTCTGAGTTAAACATGGACTCAAGCCAGCTCAAGTCAAATCATTCTCAGCTCGTACAAATGGTTTTTTGTACTATATCAGATGACTTGATACTAACTTGCAATAAAAATATAAATAAAAGAGGTAGTTAATAAGCTTAAAAATGGTACGGTATTGTTCTTGTTTTTAACCCTAGTTCCCGATAACCCGGCATTTCACAAACTCGGCACCCTTCCAGTCCACATTACGCCGAGTTTGCGGGACTCTACTGTATCGATAGATTGCTGATATCGCGACAACCCTAATCCTAACTTCTTAGCTGGATTATGTCTGATCATATGAACTACAAAGTAAAGAAAATATTCCCTGAAATACCATTTTACCGCCATTAGTATGTCAGAATGACCAATCTACTCACGGCAATATACATTTAATTTGGGTACGGAGAAGTTAAACTGGGAGCGGCCAACATGGGCCTAAGTTAGCCCAATTTGATAGGTTAAGAGAAAAAGTATCCTATCCTACAAATTAATTTTGGCCTTAAGACTTACGATATGTGAATTCCAAAAGCTGGTTAATAACACGTGGCTCGTACTCAGTAATTCCGGCTTCTTTTAAAATTGAAGTGATCACTTGAGCATCTTTGGGCAACTGCTTCTGTTGGGCCGACGTCATAGCTGCCATCTTGTTTTGTTTTGACGTCGACCAGTGTTTCCACACGACCAAAAAAATAATCCCGCTTACTGGGTTGAGAAATCCCGTTTTATCCCGCTTTTAAATTGGTGAAAAATCCCGTTTTATCCCGCATGATTTTTTTGGTACAATTCCTTGTATTAAACTTTACGTATCATTTTTATAAGTTGTTTAAACATCACTATTATATTTTGCTACAGTATTTAAACAATTTGAGTTAGTTTTTCTCTAAAATTGAGTAGAAAAAAATATAAATACTCGTCACAGCCGAAAATCCCGTTTTATCCCGCATCCCGCTCAAGGTCTAAAAATCCCGTTTTCGGGATAATAATCCCGCGAATGGAAACACTGACGTCGACGTCGCTGGTCTGGTCGCTCTTCCTTCCCATCCCAGAATCAGATCCAGATGCTCAAATTGGCAAACTTGACAGTGTTGCCAGTTAGATTGTATTCTTGATATTTCCCTACTAAATTCCCTAATTATAAATTCCCTACCAATCAATACATTTAGGAGTTTTAAATCAATTGCGGTACTGTAATTAGTTTCTGCTGATAATAGAAATAAAATTTTATATATTTTCCTCCAAAAAATTAATTATAGTTGCCATTTCCATAACTCAAAGAAAAGTTCCCAATGGGTCGAATTTTTCGTTGATTTTATAATATAAACATTCTCAAGAGCTCTAAACATTTATAAGATAAATTATTATAATTTTACCATTTGACTTATTACTTACGCTACAATTTGTAATATTTGTTTGTACCAGTTTTCTTATTTTCCCTTAATATTCACGTTCAATCGATTTAAGACTCTCTAAAAAAAAAATGCAACGATGTGTACACGAGTAACGTGTAGGCTTCAGCAAATAAATACCTAAAAACGACTTGATTTCATTAAATGAACCACTAAAACAATATATATTGAATATAAATCGTGCTTTTCAAGATAAAAAAAGTGCAGATTTGTGTACGGAAAACTCTGCAGAAGCATTTCTGGAACTAGAGTTCTTCTTTGGTGAAAATGTTAAGCTAATAAAGCATATATTCAAACACCCCCCCCCCCTCATATAATATAGGATAGAAAATTAACTCATACTTAATCTCGAACTACTAAATATTGTATAATCTATCTTTAAAACCATTGATTATGTACAAAAAATCCCCTCTGGTGGGGCATCCAGTAATAGAAATCAATGGGAAATTCCCACATCTGGTAACACTGCTCACCTGCTGCGTGCGGCGCGCGGCGCTGCGCCGTTGCCAACAATGACTTGATTCAGTCCACTCCACTCCGAAATATCGACTTTTCTCTATTTTTAGCCATTGCTCTATGTTGCCACGGCCGCCTTTAACTACAGGCCGCGACCTGGTAGAATTGGCAACGTCGCAAGTGGTGTTGTTCAGTGACAGACGTCCCATAAGATAAAATGGCAGACAGGTGACATCAGCTAATTAATTCGCACTTTATTGATTTAAATTTAAATTTATGGACATAAATTTATTAAAATATTGAAAATAAAACAATGATAAAACATACAGAATTGAAAACCGAAACAATATGAATTAAAAATCTATATCTGTACATTTTTAGGGGAGTCAATTATTGTCAAAGTCCAGTAACCATGGCAAAAAACTGATATTAACAATTTTTTGTACTATATATTGTTGAGTTTTATTTTGTTATTGTGACTTTTTTTAACTGTAAAAAAAATATGTATTGTTGACATTTGTTTATATACTTAAATATTTTTTTAATTAACTTCTGTGATAGAAATCTAAAGACGATTTAAAGACTGCTTCTTATTGATATTGGTTGTTTTCTTAAGACAAGCAATTCATGTTTGCTATAAATTGTACCTGACGATGGCCTATACATTTCTGTAATGTTTTCGGCAATAAATGTTTCTGATTTCTGACCAATCTTTCGTAAATACACAAATACCATTAGCTGCTTACAAACAAAACAGTTGTTACAACACCACGTTGCCAGTTCGAAGGCCGCGGTCTGGAGTTAAAGGAGGCCGTGATTTTGATCAATGATTTTTTATCGAATGAAATAATTAATTATGTATTTATTGTGTTTTTATTAAAATTTATTTGTTTTAAAAACTAACTGTTTGATAACATACTTTTGGTATGTTAAAATGAAATTTTTAACATACCAAGAGTTGGGGTTCTAAAGTGTGAGTGTGAAAAAACTTGGTACCGGCATAGATAAAACATACTCAGTATAGCCTGTATGTTTTATCTATCAGTATGTTTTATCTATGGTACCCATGGTGGAAGGCCTTCCACCATGTATGGTACCGGTAACTTTATGGTACAGACTAACCAAAACAAGTAGACTTCTCATCCAAGGCCCCCCTACTAGAAAAACAGGCCATGCTGCAGCGCAACACTAGTGGTAGATAATTGTACTAAAATGTTACCATTAAAATCTGATATAAAGTCAGCTTATTAACCTAAAAAATGTGGGATATTGCAGTAAATCTATCATCAAATCCCATCCACTACCACTAGTGTGACGTCGTGGATCCTGCAGCATGGCTTGTTTTTTCTAGTGGGGCCTTGTCTCATCCCATTGTAGACTTTGAAGCTCGTTTTTCTTGTCTAGTTCATATCCGGTGACACTGATCGATAGCAGTGTTGACGAAATTTAGTTTCTATTATTGAATAGTAAATTTAATGATTTTGTGCTTTACTGTTTGGTTACGTAGCTAGAGGAGATAAGATCTTTTATTTTGGTCAAACGAGGTTTTAAATTATTGAAATAACAAGAAACAAATTGTAAACAAAACAAAACACGACCTCAACAGTGAACCTAAACAACACTGACAATGGCAAACCATTTAGGCTTCAGTTGCTGTATAAGGATAAGCAATCTACTATGGGAGTGTGTTTTATCTATCCTTAAGATTAAGGTATCAAGTACCTGGGGACTATCACGGCCACCTTTACTTGGTAATTGGCAACGTCGCAAGTGGTGTTGTTTAGTGACAGACGTCCCATAAGATAACATGGCAGACAGGTAACATCAGCTCATTAATTCACATTTTATTGATTTAAATTTAAATTTATGAACATAAGTTTATTAAAATAGGTATTGAAAATAAAACATACAGAATTGAAAACCGAGACAATGAATTAAAAATCTATATCTGTACATTTTTAAGCGGATTCAATATTGTCACAGTCCAGTAACCAATCTTTCTTAAATACACAAATACTATTAGCTGCTTCCAAACAAAAAAGCTGTTACAACACCACTTGTGACGTTGCCACTTCGAAGGTTACAGCCTAAAGTTAAAGGCGGCCGTGGATCTATAGTGGCGTGGACTTGTCGGGAGGGGCCGGGTTAGGGAGGGAGCCTCACCCCCCAGAATCTAATCTGGGAAAGAGAACAGTTGGGAATTTCCTTGCTATAGGTTGGGAAGTCAGAGACGCAAGAAAAACATTTTAAACTAAATAACATTATAATATTTGTAAAAAATCCATCAAAGATTGAAATTTCTTTGACTTGGACAAATAAACTTGATTTTTCTTCAATTTGCATTTAACTTTGATTAAACATCTTAGACTAAACACACCTTTAAAAAAAAACACTAATCAATTAGCAGTATAGTTTGTTGGAATTTCGTTTGCGAGAAATTTTGTTTCTTATTGGACGTAGATTGGCTTTCCTAGTCCAGTCCTGTCATGTGTTGATGAATGACAGAGTGACAGACGACAGACACGGATCAGGATCAGATCCTGTCCTAGTCCTGATGATTCGTTTTTCGCACTGCACTGAGCTAATTTTCGTTTTCGTCGTCTGCGACTTGCGAGCGAGTTTGATTTTGAAAGTGGAAGTGATGAAGCTCTTTATTTGAATTGAATTAATGTTGATTAGTGTTTAAGAAATAAACAAATATGTTGCCACATTAACTATATTATACCTTTTTTATTTTTTGTAGTATTTGGAGCAGGCTAACTGATCTGAAGTTAGCTCTCTAACAGGAGGATTTGCTAATAAGTACTGTAGTTTAAATTAAAATAACAGATAGGTAGGTTTTGTGTATCGGTATTACCTTTAAAACTCTTATTTTTTAATAACTTAAATCCAATCTTAATTCTTTAAATTTATTTTTTAAATCTTCAGAATTTATTTAACATTCCTAACTTATAAGGATTTACACAAATGAATCAACTAATCACTCTGAAACCGGTCTAAGTGGAAAACATAACCTAAAAATTTGAGTTTGACGTTTTTGAAAACATAACCTAAAAATTTGAGTTTGACGACGTTTTTAAGTTAGATTTTTGTTTCCTCCTCTGTGGCCTTTTAGGTGGTCTCATTAATCAAGTTACAAGTAGGCCTATGTATTTTATATTAGACATATTTTATTTTCATTTACCGGTACCCAATCTATAGACTGTTACATGAAGATTAACTTTTTTAATGTATGTACAAGCATAGATAAAAACGGTACAAGTTTATTACTAACCAAACTCAAATATCTTTATTTTTGACAGTTTTACAAACTGAATAATAGGCCTAGCGTCAACAAAATTTCTCTTAAACAAATCAAAACAATATTTTCTTATGGATAAAATCTAAAAAATAACTTAAAGACCATTGTTTTCTTTAAAAGTCTTCAACAGTGTACAACAAAAGAAGACTCTTAAAACCCCTTTGCCAAATTTGCCACACTATTTTACATCTTCGGGGGATTGGGCAGTGCGTTGAACAGTTGAATGCCATTTTAAAATAAATGGTTTACAAAAAAAACAGTTTTGTGTTTTGGAATGTATAAATCGGACCGGCTTCTCAAACCATAGGAGATAGGGCGAGACAGATTTATAAAAAGGTCAATATTTTTCTTAACAAGACAGTTTAAGATATAGATGGACGGAAAAGTAAGAATTTTATAGTTATCAAAAAGTGTTTTACAGGAAAATTTACGATGCTTCTTAAAAACTGTTCTCATGGCTTTCTTACCGTACGCAGTTTAAAAACTTTTTTTAGAATTTAGACACTCATGTCCCCAACTACAACTGCATATGAAAGAAAAGGAAAAGCCAGTCCGTAGTAAGCCACCACTAGAACTTAAGAGTCCAAAAATGTTGCCAAATTTCTTAATAAGAATATATTATTAGAACTCAATTTATTACAAACAGAATCTACGTGGGGTGTGAATTTCAACTGGTTGTCGATGTGAACGCCCAGGAACTTAGTTTCTGAACAGGACGGAATGAAATTGTTAAAAGTCAAAAATGGAAAGAGAAATAGACAAGATAATGAGCAGAAAATAATTTAATTATTTACAAAAGAAAAGTTACTCAATCATAGTAAAATGCTACCAAACTATATTCCTGTAATCACAACATAACAATTCATTCCAAAATCATATGT